TTCAAACTTGTGGGTTCACAGAGAAGCCAAGTCTGGCTGTAACAACGCAGGGTACTARGAGAGGACAAACGACCAGYAAAGACAACAAAGAATCCAGCAAAATCCATTCTTTTTACTATTCTCTTCTAAAATAAAAACATTAATTTCCRAGCTCTATTTTAAGTCGTTTCTATATCCCAAAAGTTAAGTTCTGTTCTAAAAAAGCCGTTCTTAATTTGCCACCATTCTAAAAAACTAAATTCAACTAGTCTAATATAATGCAAACTTGCTTTAAAATTAATGTTTATATCCCACTTATGGGATAAWATAACCCCTATTTCTTAGTCGGCCAATTTTGTACTATTTACAATMGATGTAAAAATTATCAAATAAAATGATTTGATTTGCCCTGTATTTTACCATGCTTTTTGATCTACCAGCATGCCTTGCGAACTCGTCGACAGCCCAATTTTTCTTGACMCTCGTGAAGATCATTTATTATTTAAATAAAAGGTAATTTTAGTTACACCTTATTTAGTAAGAAAACCATAGGTGTGGCCAAAAGTTTTTTTTTACAAAATAACTCTACTGCGAAATTTTCCCAAATTTTTTAGGACAAGTTTTATTTCATTTTTAACGATTTACGAGACAACTGGCTGACCGCAATGCATGCTGGTAAACTGRTCTGCCATGAAATTGGGCTAACTTTAACCTTAAGGTTTTTAAAAATTACAAAAGTCTTCACCATTCAACATTATCGCCATTAATTAATAAAGTAGAAACCTATCTGATATGTCCCCCATTTTTTCGTGTTTTAAAATCTAAAAATATCTACAAAATTAATTAAAATAAAATATTTGATCTTCTTTTCCAATCGTCYTTCTTTCGATTTTTCCCCGCATTGTCCCGCTTCGTAACGGGGCTGGGACTTGAAGTTGAATTGTCCGCTCGAACGGCTGAAGCTCGGGAAGTGCTCGTTGAGCTGTCGTTTCGGACTCTGCTCGGGCTTTCGGTACGCCGTCGGTTAGCGCTTTTAACAAGCGATGTACGTGACGTGCTTTCGGTTTTATTTAAAGCTCTATTGGACGATGTGCGAGCRTTGTTCTCGCGAGAGCCASTGATTCTTCGTGAAGTGCTTCGTTCTCGTGCACTGTGCTCAATTGGTGTGACTTTGTCTGGACGAACGAAGGAGCCAAACCTTGGCTTGCAGGCAAAGTATCGCACACCTTGAACTGATCCATCGTTGCGCCCTGAAACAGAATATAATTACAGTAAGAAACACACACCAATAACTATTACAAATGTTTTGCGTTCAGCTCCTTCCATATTTTATCGTTTTCTTAAGTATCGTGTCTCATATGATCGTACCAACACTGTTTCCTAAAGAGMCTTACAAACCGAAATTTGGGGAGACCGAAACCAAGAAGTTTTGGATGCTCATTCATGATGCTGTTATTAATTGTAGTATATTCATTATTATTACTATTTTTCTTCGTTTTCAAGTTYCGTCACAGCAGCCATCTTGGAGGCCTCTTCAACAGGAGTACCTATGTATTGTCCATTCCTCCAACATGGCCGCTGGTCTTTTATTTTTTAAATTTCATGGGAGTGGGTGAAAACGATCAATTCATTCTATATATTCATTCTAATACCTCCAGGTTTGTCCAGCTCCACGCCAACCCACATTCCCGGGGCAAACTCGGTCGGACCAGTAAACCGAATAACTCCAGTCTTCCCCTCACCGAGCCATACCGCCATCCCTGGTTTTAAGTTTCCAAGGGTATCTTCATTCCAATCCAAGCTATCCATAGAAGACGCCAAGTCATCTCGACTTCCAAATGAATCTAAATCATCCCGAGAAGACGATAAAAGGTATTTCTCCTCTTCCGAAGTCTTGTCGGTATCCATCGGGGTTAATTCGGTCTCGAGATTAGAAGACGATAATAGGTATTTGTCTTTTTCCGAAGTCTCATCGGAATTTCTCGGCGTTAATTCGGTTTCATCCGGAGGAGTCAACAAAAGTGATGTTTCTTCTTCCGACACCTTGTCGGATGTTTTCGGCRTTGATTCGGGCTTTAATAAACTTTGGACATCAGGTAGAAAGTCACTTGTTGATAAGTCGTCCAAAGTAAGAGATAAAGGTTCTTTTAATTGTTCGGATTTATGTTGTGTTTCACTATCTAAACTAATTAAATCATTCCCAATGTTATTTGTTGAGCTCTGCAGCTGAATACTGTCAGTTGTCGAGAAATTTGAAATAGGATTTTCATTCGAACCAAGGTCRAGTAGAGGTTTATTTTCGCAATTGTCCAATAAATTGTCCTTGCTTGGTGTGTTCATTGCTCTCTTATCCTCAGAAACAGTATCAAACAGTACTAAATTCGCCCCGAGAGGGTCATCAATTTCAGRCGTTTTCTCGTCATCTGATTTCTCTTTCGTACTTTTATCGGAATTCTCGAGAGCCTTCGTATTCTTCATGAATTGAAAAGGAGTTGGAGTCGGAAGGTCGTCGTAAGCCAACGCCGCATTGTCGTCAAATGTAATCGTATCCGAGCTTGCCGACCTATCGCGAATATCGTTCGGTAAAGGACTCGTAGCAAGTTGGACCGACGCAGGTAGTTTTAGATCGTTGAAGTCAAAACGATCGGGGATTTCAACCTTYGGGCTTGGTTCCTTGGAATCTTCAGACAGTGTTTCCAAATCCATAACTAAAGAACTTGGACGAGGATTTTGAGTTCGACCAGCAGAATTTCGCAGTACAACACCAGCTGTAGTTGTTGGTGTGCTGGTTTGGCTGGGTGGCGAGGTAGTGTACGACGAGAAATCRATCAGTGCTTCCTCACGTCCGTGGAAAGTTCGATTTTGTCGAGGATCAGACGTTAAACCAGAATTCATTCCATAACTCTAGATTTGCAAGTAAATATGGGCGTTAGTTTACAAGAATAYATATTGAACAGGAGTGGACAAATTTTCAAAGCGATAAAAATTTCAATTTAAAGATTRAAACGAGGCTAAGTGGTAACAATAAATAAGCCTCGCTTTGATCCTAGTGATCCTTAGAAGTGGGATATTGTGATATGTCAGATTTAATAGAAACTCTTCTCCAAATCTACAATCTACTTTGACATAATAGATCTTTTCTAAAATTACAAAATCATGATGCATTGTGGTCTAGCTTCAATACAAACAACGCCATATTTGGCAGCATTGACAAAAGATGTTTGTACCGAATCTAGACCAAAATGCAATGCAAACTGCTTTCTCAGAAAAAGGCCTATGACATAGAACTACTCATTCYTACCTTAAAATCTAAGAAACGCGCCGTTTCTGCAACATCAAATCGGCCTGGACTTCCTCCAAATGTTAAATCAGACTGCAAGAAATGAAGACACTGTTAATTATATTTGTAAAACTCATGAATAATTAATGAGGAAAACACAATAGAAACTAAAACCGTGAAGAGTGTTGTAATATTTGATACAAAACTGTCTTGATTTGTATAAAGTTCAAATCTAATTTCCTCAGCCAAACTTAAGTTTTTAGTAGATTATGAATGTATACACCTAAACGTTTCACAAGTAATTTACAACATTCGCGTCCGTGTTGTATGGGCTTTACAATCTCTCGACTTCGGCTCCAGATTGTAAAATCCCATACAACACGGCCGCTCATGTTGTAAACATTATTTGTAATGGAGCTGATAGGTTAATTCAGATGTAAGTAAGCACTTTATTAACAGACACCGTAATAAAGCAGTGAGTGTCTCCATAGATTTTAATGCCGTAAAATTGTGGATGAGAGTTTTTTTAATTACCATTGTCGACGATGCTGCGAGGTTCGGTGTACTTGCAAACTTTCTTAAAGGTTTCCCGATGGCAGCAAGTTTCTCTTTAACTTGCACTTCCTGCAAAAGATTTTATAGGCCTTGCTATTACCCATGCTCACTGCAAAGMATACCCACAGGAAGCCCGACATACCTGTCTTAGCTTGTCCAATGCTAAAAGACTTTCAACGTTTGATATCCCTTTACTGTACCGTCTGAGAACAGTTTCGTCTTCTTCTTCCTCACCRACTGCTTGGGCTGCCATTTGTGCCAGACTTGCTCGCTCTTCAGTCTCTTCACCAGGTTGCTAGTTCAAAAGTAATTCAAAAACACCATCTTAATTACTCAATTTTTGCAAAGTTCAATCTTAACTCCGAACTTCACCGAACTGTTTTCGAGATTTCCTCGTCAAAACCGAATGAACTCCGACTGATTGTATAGTATCTAAAAGAGAATTACCCTGGGTATGTGGGACACGAGTTCGTAGACTACTCCACAGCTGTAMCGTAGATCCTGTAAAAGACAAGAAGATTACCAAGGCAAACTTAGGGAGGGAGGGAGAGTAGAA